TCAGCTGGTTGGATTCGCTGCATTGTTTCTAGTTTATTCTAAAAAATATACATACACACGTTTATAATGCACTGGCCCCAGTTACTTCGCAATTCGATTTAAGCTGGGAGGATTGAAAATAATTTGAGATCACACCTTTCTTATTGGCAATTATAAACTATCAATAGGTATCGTATCGTATCAAATACGTATCGTATCGTATCAAATACGTATCGTATAGTATTAAATACGTATCGTATCGTATCAAATACGTATCGTATCGTATTAAATACGTATCGTATCGTATGAAGTTGTATTGAATGTTATTTATCGAATTGTATCAAGCATAGCACTGCATTCATAAATACACCCTGGAAATACGTGCACGTAATACAAGAGAGAGAGAAAAATCAATTAAGATAAAAGAGAGAGTCCTCACGCGATGACATCACAACCGGAAACGGAATTGATCATCGTGAACGTGGGAGGCAACCGTCACGTGATGAACATTGGTGACCTCATCAAAGCGCCTCACACGAGACTCGGTAAACTCGCACATCTCTACTTACTTCGGCCATCGTTGAAGACGTCATCGCCATCATCTTCTTCCTCTTCTGCCTGCGCTGCGAGTTGTCTTTCATTTCCGGTCGCCATCTTGGATCTGTGCGATGACGTCACGTATGACGTCAGAGAAGGGAAAATGGAATTTTTTTTCGACCGTCAGCCGGTCAGCTCGGCCTATATCGTTAATTACTACAGAACTGGGAAGCTGCACTGCTCTGAAGAGGTAAGATGCATCTCATTAACATAAATTATCATCTAATTTGTTTACATTATCGTCTAATTGGTGTTAATTGTTTTTAATTATTTTATAATTAATACTAATTAATGTTAGCGTCTTTGTATAAAACCGAGCATAGTTTACAAACCTACGTAATTTTAATGAAAATGAACTTACTTTCATAAAAAAGGAGAAACAAACGAACGAATGAACAAACAAACCAACAAACGAACAAACAAAAACGAACGAACAAATGTACGCAAACACACAAACAAACAAACATGCATGCATGCAAAATTGATAGCCAAAAATCTTTTTAAAAACTAGTTTCAAATTTTCTTCTCTCAAAATTAGATACTTTTTCGTTGGGTAATTATGTCGCAAATATAATTATTTGGTCTCTCTCTCTCTCTCTCTCTCTTTCTATTTATTCTTCTACTTCTTTTTATTTATATATATCTCTTTCTTTCTCGCTTTCTTTCTTTTTCTCTCTTTCTCTCAACCACAATTGTAATAGTTCTTGGGAAGGCGCCTAAAAAACAACCATATAAATTTATTCACCATCATCACCATCGTAATCATCATCATCATGGTCATCAGCATCATTATCGTCATCATCGTCATCATCATCACCATCGTCATATCGCTTAAATGCCCTTTATCACTTCTTTAACTTTTACATTTTCGATTCTCCATACATACAATCAACAAAACATAGCTACACGCACACACACACGCACGCACGTACACACACACGCACGTACACACACACGCATACACACACACAGATATGCGTGCAATCGTACTCAGAGGACCTGGAGTACTGGGGTGTGAGTGACGTTAACCTGGAGCCATGCTGTCAGGCACAATACTTCCACAACAGAGAGTTCTGCCTCAATGAAATTAGGAAAGAGAAAAAAAGTTTGAAAATTTACGCTGACGAGGATGCATTTGAACCCGGTACCTTCTGCATCAACCTCAGACAGAAGCTCTGGGATGTTGTCGATAAGCCGCAAACATCTCTACTTGCAAGGGTAACTTAAATGACGTTTAATTTGAGAATTGTTAACGTTAACAACTAACAAACAAACAAACAAACAAACAATCAAACAAACTGACCAGCACACACCTCACAACAACAATTCATCGCCATTATATGCGGAACAAAAACAAAGACAAAAAAATCATCTCAAAATAGGCGATGGCGGCAATTTCAATCTTATTTATCGTCCTCTCGACTGTCACATTAACGCTCAACACTCTTCCATCTATGCACCATAGATACGACAATGGCACGATAATAAAAGAAAATATCCACCTAGCCAGAATCGAAACGGTTCGTGGGTTTTTCACTCACGCACACACACACACACACACACACACACACACACACACACACACACACACACACACACACACACACTGACACATGCAAACAAACACATACATGCACATACACACAGGTACACATAATTAATGTAAATATATATACACTAGGTAATTATTTATTAATATTTATACACGTCTAGGTTTGTATCGGCTGGTTCACCTTCGAATACTTAGTGAGGTTTTTGGCCTCGCCAAACAAATGCAACTTCTTAAAGTTAGTTGTGTCTGTGTACGTGTCTGTGTGCGTGTATGTGTGTATAAGTGTGCAAAATATAAGGTGTTGAGCACCGAATAAAAGATAGCACACACACACACACACACACACACACACACACACACACACACACACACACACACACACACACACACACACACACACACACACAAACACTCATTTGTAGGAGCATTTTGAATTTCATCGATTTGGCGGCCATGTTGCCTTATTATGTATCTTTGGTCGTTTCCATTTTTGATCAAAAAAACGCGGGAAATGACCAGAAAAGCGTGGGAGTTGACCAACTTCAAAACGCGCGCCGGATCGTTCAAGTCTTCCGGATCATGAGGATTTTTAGGATCTTCAAGGTTGGGCGATTTTTAATCTGAAAGATTCAGAATTGGTGATTGATTGAGTGAATGAATGAATGGATAAATTGATGAACATCTGATAATTAAATGAATGAGTGAACAAAAGACCGGGCGAACCAAACCAACGTATGAACAAATGAATGAACGAACGAGCATATGGAAGAACCACGAAGGAACAAATAAATGAATTGATTAATAAATCAATCAATCATTCAATTTATCAATTATTCATTCAATCAATCAATCGATCGATCAATCAATCAACCAATCAACCAAAAAGCTTGCTCGTCATTCAACTGGCCTACAATCCTTGGGCTACACATTACGAAGAAGTTACAAGGAGCTCGGCTTGTTGGTCATGTTCATTGCTATCGGAATTCTAATTTTTTCAAGTCTGGCCTACTTCGCCGAGAAGAGTGATGATTATAATGTGGCCACTGCAGCTCCTACTGCTGCTTATAAAAATGGTTAGCCGCTGTTGTTGGTGCTGAAGTTGTGTGGAGTGGCTGTTTTGCTGGCAGTTTGTTAATTAACTTAAAGGATTTGCCATATAATGAATTTGTTTGATTTTTGAACAATTCTTTCATGGTTCCCACCTTGAATCTTCCAGAATATTTGAACTGTAGTAAATACGACCAGCCTCCGGAGAGCAACAGCGACAACGACAATAGCCACCATCACCACCACCACCACCAACAGCCGCAAAACTGTCCGGAAGCACCCATTCCCCAGCAGTCCCAACAGCCCATTCCTGATTTCCAGCACCACCAACACCAACACCACCGAAGCATCATCGACCAGCCACAATTCACCAGCATACCGGACTCATTTTGGTGGGCTGCCATCACGATGACCACGGTGGGCTACGGGGACGTCTACCCCAAATCCAGTTGGGGTAAATTAGTGGGGGCGATTTGCTGCATTTGCGGCGTTTTGGTCATAGCAATGCCCATCCCAATTATCGTCAGCAATTTCGCCGATTTCTATAGGGACCAGATGAGACGGGAGAGAGCTCTAAAGAGAGAGGGGGCCTTTGAAAGGGCCCGCCGTGACGGTAGCATTGTGTCGATAGATAGGGGTTGTGAGTATGACGTCACTAATGACGTCATTTTTTTGGATAAGACGAGAGGAGGAAAAAGTTCCGATGACGTGTTTTGTAGTGATGACATGGAAAATAACGATGATGACGAAAATGGTGCTATGATTAAGAAATAGATCATGTAGTTGTAGTAGTAGTAGCAGCAGCAGCAGTAGTAGTAGTAGTAGCAGTAGTAGTAGTAGTAGAAGTAATAGTATTACAGGCGCAAATTACTTGAATTTATTGTGTTTCTAATCAAACTAACAAACAAAAATGTTGTTTTAAAATAAAGTCTAAAATTGAAATCGCGAAATTTTAAATTCAAGTTAGAAATGATCGTATATTTTATATATTATACGTGTGTACGTGTGTGTATGTGTTTATGTGTGTTTGTGCGCGCTTGTGTGTTTATGTATAAATAGAGTCTCCAGTTTGAAAAAGCCTTACTTGCTAAGGAAAGAAATATAAATACATTCACGAGTAGTTGACATTAAAATAGAGTTTCCCAATTGTTTGATAGAACTAAAAATATTACAATTGATTAAATAAAGTTTTACAATGAGATGATTTTATAATAAAAATGAGTTTAACTAAGCAATCAATCAATCAATCATCACTCAAATCATCAATCAACTAACTAATTAATGAACCAATCAACTGACCAGTCAATCAATTAACCAACTGGCGAACCAATCAATGGCTACTTTTTGCCAGTTTCCTCTTATTAACACCGGCCGATTTTACCATCAAATTTTTTCCTGTCAATTTTTCCTCGTACGGTGACCTAACTTGACCAGTTTTAGGCCTGTAGTAGAGACCATATCTACTCTCATCGTCGTCGTTGTCGTCGTCGTCATTGTAGCCGCGATTGTTACGATTCTGACGATCATGGTGGCTATGGTTACGACCGAGCGATACGGTCTTCCTGGACCCCCCTTGATCACGTGACGGCAAAAGCAACAGCCCATTGGTCAGTTTCAGTGAGGAGTTTCTCCTGTTTACTGCCCACGTGTTTGAGTTCGGCAGACGATCGCCACTCATAGCCAACAGGCGCTCTCTGAAGGCTTTAAAAGTGACACAAACATTTATTTACTTGCATGTATACGTATGTGTAAATGTATGTGTATATATGTATGTTTGCATGTATATATATATATATATGTGTATATATGTATGTATGTATGTATGTATGTATGTATGTATGTATGTATGTATGTATGTATGTATGTATGTATGTATGTATGTATGTATGTATGTATGTATGTATGTATGTATGTATGTAAACATTAAAACCAAAACATGATGAGTGACACTGAACCGTCAAACATCAAGTAACAAGTGTATTAACACTTTGATTTGTCGTTAATTGCACATGTCGGCATTCAGTTGGATATTTTCAAGCACACAGACACGCAGGAACCGCTGCAACAAGCACGAAATGGGGTTAGTTGCGAAAAACAGTTCCCTGCTGTCGCCTGATCTGACGCTGATCATTTTGCATATTGCCTTAAGAAATTTAAGTGTGTTGGGGTCCATCGGGCCGAGAACCTCGATACATATTGGCAAGAATTTCATCGAGGGGAGGGCATTCCCATATTTCTTCATTTTCTCGTCCGCTGCCCTGGCCGCGACCAAACCGCATTCTTTACTTGTCAGGTTTACGTATCGTTCGGCGAGGGTGCCAGGGACCGTAACATCCCACGCCAAACATCTGCCGGCTCTCCAAGGTATTAGTGTGCATACATAGTGTGTATGTATGTATGTATGTATGTTTGAATGTATTTACGCACGTAATTGTACCTCAGAGACCAATAAAGACATTTCGACCAACCTGGATTTTGAACCTGGGATCTTTGAGTCCAAGGATCGAGTTGAGAGGAAGTGCTTCCACGTGACCCGTCTGCATAATAAAAATAATTATGACAATAAATAATAACAATAATAACAATAATAATTATAATAATAACAATAACACAGAGTACTCGAATGCGAGTGAACCAACGTGTCATACATTTTTTTCTCTCCAATGTATGATAAGTAAGATGTGAGTGACGTCTGCCATTAACATTATTATCATTATTATGATAATTATAATTATGGTTATCATAATAATAATAATAATTATTAATAAAAATTATTATTATTATTATTATTACCCGTGACGTAATCGAGGAAGGCTTCAAAGCCGTTATAGTCCAGGGCGCAGTGCCTACCTTTCCACACCATGTTGTCTGGGATAATAATAATAATAAATAATAATAATAATAAATAATAATATAATAATAATAATTATAAACTATATTTTCAATAATAATAATAATATTAATAAATGATAATGGTAAGTAACGTTTTTCGTTGAGCAACACGACCGTTGGGACGCCAACCACCTCAAATATTTCGTTCAGTGGGCCATTCGGGTCTGAATAATTATTAATAATTATAACATAATTATAATTATAATAATGTTACTATTAATCATAATAATAATAAAAACAAATCAACAACAACAACAATACTAATAATAATAATAGTAACAACTACAGCAATAGTTATCGGGCAATATCTTAAATTTAAATGTAATGTTGTAGGGGTAGTAGTAATTGAAATATCGTCAGTTGAAGGGGTCCGAGTGGATTTGAAATAAAACTGAAATTTAATTGGCTGCTTAATTCAGTGGATAAAATAAAGCTGACATTTAATTGGTTGCTTAATTCAGTGAATAAATTCAAAAATTTGAAAAGTTCCCGCCTTTTTCGAGAAAAGTTAGATAGTGAGAAAATAGCTGGCTGTTGGCAGCTGTTTGCAGCTGCTGTTGCTGCTGCAAACTTAACCAGCCAGTCATATTCAAGATTTGCAAAGCCCTCTCTCTCGATGATGATGATGGTGGTGATGATGATGATGTGGCCTGTGTTGATTCGCAGCACACGGTGATTATCTGAGTGAGTGAATGAATAAATAAATGAGTGAAAGAGTGATTGAATGACTGACTGACTGAATCATTATCATCGTCGTCATCATTATCATAACCTTATAATTTTTTCCCGCCATTTTACTGGAATACTGACAGAGCCAGTTGAGTTGCTTAATGGAGTAATGATGATGACCGGACCAAAAATAAATTACGTAGCCAAAATTATTATTATTATTGAGGTGATGATTATTATCATTGGTGGTTATAAATAGCTGCTGGGAATTTCCGCTGAAAATTTCCAGAGATGTGCAGGTGGTGGAAATTCCAAACGGTTTTCTTACCCATCCCTGGTTTACGGGCTTTTTGGAAGCGAATTTTCTTTCGATTTCAAGAGTTTCTCGGTAGGGTATGATGACGTCATTGTGGAGGTCTTTCTTCGATGGTCTGATGGATTGAATGAAAGAATGGGTGAATGAATGAATGAATGGGTGAATGAATGACTAAATGAACAAATGAATGAATGAAAGACAAAAAATGAATTAAAAAGCGTATTTTTACCTCAATATCTGACTGAAAAAGCAAAAAAATGAAAATGGTTGAAGCGGTTCAGTTGACACTTCAACAACATTTGAAGGAATGCAGTTGATGCTGTTGTTGTTGATGTTGTTGCTGTTGTTGTTGTTACAAACGGATGTCAAACTAATAAAATAATTCGTCTGATCTTTACAAGGAAGCTTGGTAAGATCAATAATAACGTCATCATTAACGTCATCAACAACAACAAAGACAACAACAACAACAAAACAACAACAACAACAACATCAGTAACATTAATAATTATAACTACATTAAGCGGTAAGTTGCAAACATCATTCTTGAGTGGCGGGCCATAAGATGCTCCGTTAATCAGCAATTGATAGCTTATGTTGTTGTTGTCGTTGTTGTTGCTGTTGTTGTTGTTGCTGTTGTTGCTGTTGTTGTTGTTGCTGTTGTTGTTGTTGCTTGCTGGTTGCCAAGAGACAACACAGTTTAACATGCCTGCACGTATATTTAGATATTATGTTATATATATATATATATATATCCTTAAAAAAATCAATCAACCAGTCAATCAATCAACCAGTCAATCAATCAATCAATCAAACCAATCGAACTAACCAGTAAACTCATTTTGAATGAGAACCAGGCATAAATCTAAATCTCTATCCAAGCCATCCAAACCATTCAGTAAAGCCTGATTGTTCGGATTCACCTGATTGAAAAATGAATGAACGAACGAAAAAATAAGGAAATGAATGAATTCAAGAAAGTGAAAATGAATGAATGAATGAATTTAAATGAGAATTCATAATTCACCTGTACGTGCTGATGATGATAGTGATCGGCAGGCGGAAGGAAACGTTCTTTGGATAAATCTTGGAGAAGTCTGATGATGATAATGATGATGATGTGGCTGATTCTACGCTCAATCACTCAATCAATAATTCATTCATTCGTTCATTCATTAAGTTAACTACCCATATTTCAGCAATTAGTTTTTCTATTTATTTAACTATTCATACGTTCATCATTCATTCGTTTGTCCGTTCATTCATTCATTCATTCGTTCGTTCATTCATTCATTCATTCATTCATTCATTTACTCATTCATTCATTCACTCACTTATCTCTCAAATTGATCAAAATGGCGGTTTCGCTATCTAGCATTCTACGCTCATCTAGGTTTCGAACCCGGACACTTATGGTCGGAGTTAAGATGGTTGAGATTGGCGCCACTAAAATAGATTCACTTTTAACCAATTTCTGCGATCCGTGCAACTGTTTTTTGTATTTGGTATTATTATTATTATTATTGTTGTTATTATTATTATTATTGTTATGATGATGCTAACGCGTATCTCCATGTATATAAGATATCTTCCTTGCTTTAGATCTGTAAACTCGTAATACATTTGATCCTGGGAAGAAATAAAAAAGTTGGTTGATTGATTGAAGGAATGAAGAAATGATTGAATAAATAATTGAGTGAATAAATATGTGATTGTTTGATTAAATGATTGGTTGATTGATTGGCTGGTTGAAAAAGAAGTTACTTGATTGACTGGCTCCGATTGAATCTGTTGATTTGTTTCTTCTTCAACGACAACCAACTGAAATATAGAACAAAGTTATAAATTAATTTTCACTCATTCATTCAACCAATCACTCATTCATTCAATCAATCAATTATTCAATCATTCAATCCATCATTCAATCAATCAATCCATCAATCAATCATTCATGCAACCAATCAACGCATTCACTAACTTTACAGTTTTTAATCTTTGCATTCCCGGTCACGACAATCAGGCCCCAGCTAATTTTAACACCATTGAAATAATTGGACGACGGTGACGTCACTCTTTGTAGTTTTGGCGCCAAAACACCAGGCCACGTGACTACCAAGGGTTCGGACAGCTGACTGTGGTATCTGCGTTCTGATGTGAGAGCCTGTGTGTGTGTGTGTGTGTGTGTGTGTGTGTGTGTGTGTGACGTCATCGTCAACAACATCGTCAACAGCAACAACAACATCAACAACAGCATCAACATCAACAACAAAAACAGCAACAGCAACAACAACATCAACAACAAAAACAACAACAACAAAATGTCTCCTAACCTGAACCTGAAAAACATAGTCCTTACACCAAACACCTCCAGTGAACGCGAACGATCTTGCAGTCGAACCCAGGTCGTTCGACTCGGCCACGCCATCGATGAACACCTTATAACCTGTAATCGTAGCATCGCCAAATGATTTTGGCTCCTCCCACTCGATCGTGACGTAATTGAAGTTGGTGGCTCTGATTGATTGATTGATTGATGAGTGATCGAATGAAGAAATAATTGGATGAATAAATAAATAAACCACTTTCAAAACAAATTCAAACTGACTTAACACAGACGACAGGAGCACCGGCGGGAGCAGAGGTCACGACCTTCACGACCTTTGACCTGCCGACCAATCTATTTTTAGCATCGTAGGTGTACAAGCGTATGCAGTGCTGCACTCCCGGTGCACACTTGTGAAGCGTACACCTAGTCTCGGAACTCTCCAACTGCACTTCCTTTTCCTGTTCATTATTTTGTTTCCATGGTTAATAATAATAATAATAATTATAATAAATAATGATAATAATAATAAATAATAATAATAATAAAAAGATTTTCAATTTATTCGGAGAAATTAGCCACCTGAGTTTGAACAGCTGACTTCCATCGGACTTTATAATAGTCAACGTTATTATTATTATCATTGGTCCAGTCCATGTGTATGGATGTGTCCTCAACTTTCACGACCCTCAGGTGCGTTTCCACCCACCCATCGCTCCCCCCACCATCAGCGAGATCATCAACACCACCACCGCCTCCGCCTCCCATGTCACTACTATCATAACCATTGCCACCACCATCATCATCATCATCGCCGCGGGAGTTATGATTATGATGATGGTGTTTGGTTTTCCCGGCTAGTTTTGAGAAATTTTTTTTCAAGCTTGAGTCAATCACGACTGCATCAGAGGGTTCGGAATCGACAAAATTTGCTTCGGACGACAATGCAACTACACTCACGTTGTAAATTCTGCGTGAACCAAAGATGAATGAATGAATGAATGAGTGAATGAATGAACGAATGAATGAGTGAATGAATGAATGAATGAGTGAATGAATGAACGAATGAATGAGTGAATGAATGAGTGAATGAGTGAATGAATGAACGAATGAATGAGTGAATGAATGAATGAATGAATGAGTGAATGAATGAATGAATGAATGAATGAATGAATGAATGAATGAATGAATAAGCAAATGTTTATAAACATAGATAGATATTTCCTTAGCATGTTTGGTTTGGTCCGAAAATTCGAACTTGTCTATTTTCAAATTAAATATTTCTACTAACAATGGTAGTATAAGTCAGGTTGATTCAAATAAATTTAAAGGTGTTTTTATTAATTCTACATTGTCCCGGTCTGACCATATCCAGTTTATTTCTAAAAAGGTTTCTAAAAATTTGGGTTTAATCCACCGTCTTAAAGCAAGATTTTCTAATTACATTTTAACTATCTTTATCCAATTCTCTAATTTTATCTTAGTCTTCTTATTGTATTTCAATCTGGAGGCAGAGTCCTAAAACTCACATTTATTCACCAATTGCTTATCTCAGTCTCTTGTGTCTGCCAAATAAAATTCAATTCAGTTCAATTCAATTCAATTTAATTTAATTTAATTCAATTCAATTTAATTTAATTTAATTCAATTTAATTCAATTCAATTCATACTTTTTCGATTGGTAAGGAACAATAGCCCTCCGGTGATTGACATTTATAACTCCGCCCACCTTCTTATCGTTAACGTACAATTGATAACCCCTAAGACCACCACCATGCAAAACAGGCTCCGCCCATTCAATCTCGAACTCTCTATCTTTAATTGCTTTAATCCAGGTTATCGGCTTCTCGGGGGGTCCAGGGATGTGCGTTTGGATGTGTTGGGTGTTTTTTGGCGATAGTGAGTCGGTTTTTGGCGGAATCGAATCAATTTCGTCGTCGTTTTTTGTGGACGTTTTGTGGTCAGTTGGATGGAAGATGGGCTCAACTATGAGGTCAATAATCTGGCTGTAAGGGGAGCGTTGTTGATGATGATGTGTGTGATACGACGATGATGACGACGATGAAGGTGATGAAGATGATGATGACAACAACAAAAACAACATTAACTACAATAAAAAACAACAAATAAGCATTGTCACCTTTTTTTAAGAATCGGGATTGTGCAGCGGTTGACATCAGCTTCGAACGATTCCTGTCGGAGTTCGCCGTACTTTTGATCATCGTCATCACTACCTCTTCCTTCTCCTTCTTCTTCCCCGTCATCATTATCACAACCATCACCATCATTATCATAACTAACGGCATTGTTACCATCACCGACACGTCGTTTTTTGATGTGAAGGTACTTCCATGTTACATTGAATTGGCTGACTCTTGGGAGGAAACTTCCGTTGGGTGCTTTATGATTTTTTTCATCATCTTCATCATCATCATCATCGTCAACCGCAACTTTATCATTATTATCATCAGCATTGTTGTTGTCGTCATCACTACCATCATCATCAACGTCATCATCATTTTTTATTTTTTTACCGCTTTTCCGTCTCTTCTTAACATTCCGAATGCCACCATCACTATCGTCACCACTCTTGTTGTTATCACCACTACCATTATCATCATCACCATTGCCGTTTTTGAGGGCTTTCATTGTATCTCTTTGGTTGTTGATTGTATTACCTTGTCCGTTTATATTTCTTTGTTTGTTTTTGTTTCTGTACTTTTTCGCCTCATTATCGACGTCGTTGCCATTTTTATTCACGGTCCATTTGACAACTACATGGCCCCATCTATTATTATTATTATTATTATTATCACTGTTGCTCTTATGATTATGATTAGTTAAAGTTTTATTGCCATTGCTATTTCGATCGCTATTGGATGGAATAAATTTAGCCGAGCATTGTACGAGAGCTCCTATTCGTCGAGAGTCTGGTGGTACCTGAAATGTGATTGGTCGGGAGAAGGAGACGTCATTATCCTCGTCGCCAGTCAGATCCTTCCAATCTTCAAAAGCAGGGGAGTCACTGTCAAAGACGCTTTTGGATTGCTTCTGTTTATGATAACGGTGGTGATGATGATGACGATGACGACGACGATGATGATGATGATGATGACGACGATGATGACGACGATGATGATGATGACGACGAAGACGATGATGATGATGATAATCATGCCAGTGATGATCGTGATAAAGTCCACAAAACTAACGACAAATCATCATCATAGTCGGAAACAACAAAAAAAACAACAACAACAGCAGCAGCAACAACCACAACAACACTAACAATTTCCATCTTTTTCCTCATTTTGAATACGTTCAATGGACAAGTGACAGCACAGAGCACAATTTTGTACTTCTTGGACGGCTTGCACTTAACCAGAGTACAACTTTGCGTCAGTGGCGACAGCCGCATGTGTGGCTGGCCGTTCACGTCTAACCGGTAGCCGAGTAAGTGGAGTTTGACGCGTCTTATGACGTCATTCTCGTTGTTTACTTGTTTGCGCTGTTGTTTTCTGGTTGTTATTTTTTCGATGTGGTTTTTCACAGAGTCGTCGTCGTCATCATCATCGTATTTATAAGCGTCATCATCGTCACCATTTTCGTAGCCACTGTTACGATTTAGTTCAGTTTTTTTATTTGATTTTTTAAGGCCGCCATTTTTATGATCTTCTTTCCTGTTCCCTCCTACCTTCTTCCGGTAAACTAAGAGCATTTCCGGTTTCTGCCAACAAAGATCACAACTGTTACTCGTGAATGACGTCATGAGGGGCAATGGTGGTGGGCAGGGTGCTTTCGTTCGAGCGAATATCGGTTTCGAGAATAATTTTGACTGCATCCTGTGCTTCGATTCCCATTCTAGGTCGGTCGGTTCCAAACCGTCTCGTACCGATGTTTTCTTGCTCACTACCGCTTCCACTGAGAATCGGTATGTCTGTTTGGTAATTTATGATTTGTCGTTAATAATATTATTCTTACGGTTAAATATTAAAAAAATAAATTGATTGACCTCTCCTGGATCGAGTCCATAGATAGTCGCATGAGAACTTGACCCCTGAATGACCTTTTCGTGACCTCTAACATCGTCGTCATATCGCGATTTACTTCCGGAACTTCTCACTTTGACCCACTTGACTCTCGTTTCCACCAATCGATTTGAGCCGCTGACTCGTGCTGCTCGCCACGACAACGAGATGCAGTCCAGGCCGGATGACGTCATTTTCAAGTCGTCAGGCGCGCCAGTTCCTGTTCGTGTTGGGGGGTGCCCCGGGTTGGAAGTTTAACATTTTTGTAAAAAGGGATTGAGGTTAATGGCAGAGTTTTGTGTAATGTTCACATTCTTCAGGCGAGTTTGTGTCATTCGTATGAATTTCAGATGTAAAAATTATTAATTGTATTAAAATCGTCCAGTCAGAAATAATAATAAGAAGGAGAATTTGAAAGTAAATCAGTGATACCAGATGTGGAACAGAAGACAGTGGATCTCGGCAGCCATTTGCTTTCAGGGGCGGGTTCATCTGCCGGTATTGACTTGATTTTGTTTGAACTTTGACCCAGTTGTTCAAAATACTCGCGAGTAATGGCGGTTACGGTAACGCAGTATTCGGTATTTTCGGTAAGACCGTCAATTGTCGCGCTGTTCGATTTCTTTGATAAGTCGACGGTTCTTAATTGATCGTAGATCGGCCGGTCGGATTGCTTGAATCGGTCGGATTGTTTCCATTTCAGAAGCTTCAGGAAACTTTTCGGGATTACATCTACCCTGTATCCTGGAGAGGATGATGATGATGATGATGAGGAGGAGGATGGCGGTAGTAAGATGATGATGATGGTGGTGGTGGTGATGGAATGATGACGACGATGACGATGATGACAATGATGTATTCATGATGACGTCATAATAATAAAAGTAAAAAACAGTTATCGTTATAATTATAACCATAGTTGAAATTAATTATTTACACACCAACCCAGTATTTTTGCACCGGAAGTTCGACTGCTACTGTTTCCGCTTCCGGGCTCCCATGTAACCAGAATGGAGTCGCATGTCGTAGAGGCTACGCAGAGGTTTTCAGGGCCGGAAACAGGGTAAGATGACGTCGCGATAGTCACGTGATCTGACGCTGACGTCATGATGAAACTTCGTTTCTTCTCTTCGCCCGTTTCTGTGATGTTGCCGTTGTGTTGTAGAAACAATAATTTAAGTTAATTACGACGGTGATGATACTGATGACGATAACATGGTCACGTGATTTGATAAGAATGACATCATAGTTAAAGACTACCTGGATTGATTTCAAGGTACGGATGAATTAATCTGGATTCAACGACAACAGTGTAAGTTTTGCCAGGACTTAGGTCTGTCAGTTGCATGCATGTATCTGGAACGAAAAATAATAATTAAATATAATAATAATTATAATTTCTTAAAAATACTACTTATTACTTTCTAATACCTGGAGAGGTTTTGCTGTTGATTCCGGTTTCCGCTTTGTTTCCGGGCCACCAGGTAACTAGGAATGTTTCGGGATCGATGTAGTGATTGTTGTTGTTGTTGTTGTCACGTGAGTCGGTGACGTCATCGTCTACGTAGGAGTGTGTGAAATTTGTGTGAAATTGATGTTGTTGTTGTTGCTGTTGTTGTTGTTGTGGGTTTTGAGATGTTGTTACTGGTTGGTTGTTGTTGATGGTCATTTCAATGAAACCACTAATAGATAGTAATTATCATTCTCATGATTGACAACGTATGCGTGCTTGTAATTACAATTGTAATGGTGATTGTAAAGAAGTTTACCCAATGCCCAAGTTACAAGGGCCGAATTTCCAGTAACATCGCGGGCCTCTACGTGTTTTGGCGGTCGCACGAAACCCGTGTATGTGACCACCAACTTTACCCCTTTCAAGGTTACTGCATTTTTTAATTACGGAATTTTATGTTAATGATTAAAATGAAACCGGATGATAAGAAATGCAAATTAAATATAAAAAGAGTAGTCATTAACATAATTTATTCTCTGCACCTGTCTTTCCATCATTAGCTAGAGATCCTGATGACGATGATACGGACGATGAACGACGACGATGTAACAATTTTCCCGCCAAATTTTGTTGTTGTTGTTGACGATGTTGTTGTTGTTGTTGATGTTGTTGTTGTTGCTGTGACGTCAGAGTCAGCAGCTGCAGCGTCATCTTTTCACCGATTTTTAAATGCTTAATTAGGAGAGATCGCGATGTCTTGGGGAGGGTAGATCCGTAGGCTTTGCCATTTTTCAAAAGTTTGAAACCCTAAATAATAAAAAATAATACTCTAAATAAAAGTAATAACAATAATTACTAAAATGCCCCCAACCTACCATAACATCCACACCATCTTTATCCTCTTCCTCTTTATCCCAAGCCAGCAGGATCCCTCTATGATCCATGTTTTCTACCCTGAGGTAAGATGATTCCGGAGGGGTTGGGGCAGAAATGGTCAGGGTGTTTGACGGATCGCTCTCACTGGCGCAGTGTATTGTTGTCGTTGGTGTCAGTTGCTGCTGCTTCTGCTGATGTACCTTCGTACAAGACTGAGAAATATAAATATTAATATCTATTTAAAATAATAATTATTATTAGCAATAAATTATTTTGTTGTTTCAAATGACCTTGACATTGACATCGAACGTTTGACCCGGGGTCAAACCGGTGAACGTGTACTGGTAACCTTTCTTGTTACCAGCTGAACTGACGTCGACCCTGTCTCTCATCTTGTTGTTTACGTAGATTCTTTGGCAATTGTATTTATTATGAATTGTGGATAATTTTAAATTGAAAGAAAATTTCATAAAATTTCAGACTAACCTGAAATGATCGATATCATTATCATCATCCACCAATCCTCCATCGTCATCATAATCATCATCTCCTTCACCGTCATCACCGCCATTTTTTCTGCTTCCGGCAAACTCTAAATTACTCCAGCCAATCACAATCGCTCCTTCTTTAAAAGATGGCTGTTCAGAAATTCTGGGCGTTCTGGGCTTTTTGGCGCACGTGACTTTCACGGGTTCAAGGTCAACGACTTTGACCCCTGACTTAGCCACTGGAACGACCTTCACTAACACCGAACTTCCGGCGAGTAACTTATCCAGGGTTATTTCTGTCAAGTCTGCTGGAAGTAGGTCGCCGATTGGTTTCTCGTCTGCCATTATTTGATAGCCAACGATATCGCTTGGCTTAATTTTTGCTTTGTTCCATTTAAATGTGACCTGATTTTTTTTAGAAAATTTATAGAAAAATAAAATAAAATAATATAATAATTGTAATAAATAAAACTACATTTTATAAACAAACATCTGCAAAGTACCAAAAATTGTAAAACGAAATAAAATTTATTCACCGAAAAGCACGCATGGCATCATTTACCTTGTTCGGTTCATCGCAGACGATCTTAAACTTTGATTGACCTTGAAACTTCGAATCGCCTGACCCATATTTGAAGGTCACAGACGGTGACGTCATCTGCACTTCTTGTGATTTGTTGACGCCTAACTTCTCGTACGTGCTAACCACGTGAATTCTGTGATGGTGATGATAATGATGGTGATGATGATGACGTCACGATGATGTTGTGGCAATGGTGCTGATCACAATATCAAAAAAAAAATACGAACAATAATAACACAACAATAAAACAATAATAACACAACACAGTCAGAAACCTACTTGTAAGTCACTCCATCAATCAAACCTTGAATCAAACAACAACCGCCACTACCACCAATACCACTACTATTACTATTTCCGCTTTTTTCGTCAACGTTCCAGACGTGTTGGACTGAGGCTAAAACGTCTGAGCGGTCATCATTCTCCAGGAAGCATTCGAAGCTGGTGATGATAACGATGATGATGACGATGATGATGATGACGACGATGATGATGACAATGATGAGATGACGATGATAAGATGATGATGGTATTATCAATGATGGCGGTTAGTGGCCGTGACGGAGTTCGACTGCAAGCAGTTCGCGGATTACGGCGCCCAAGTTTGATGCACTTTATTCGATTGACGATACATTATTATTATTCCTTTTCATACCGACGGTGATGATGAGGATGATGATGGCTATGATGATGATGACGATGATGATGACGATGATGACAATGATGACGATGATGACGATGATGATGATGATGACGATGAAGATGATGACAATGATGATGACAACCTCAAATTGCTGTTGACCTTTTTCCCGAATTTTGGCCCGGCAACATTGATGCTGTTGCAAGTTCTGCGGAAATTTTTTCCAACTTTTTCTCTAAAGACCCATGAAACAAAGATGGCTCCATTTTCTCTTTCTTCCACTTTCAAACGGGCCGCGGAAAAACCACTAATCTATTTTTAGATCATCATTGAGTTATTTTTAGATCGTTGAGTTATTTTTAGATCATCAATGAGTTATTTTTAGATCGTTGAGTTATTTTTAGGTCGTTAAACTATTTATTTTTAGATTGTCAAACTACTTTTAGATTGTCAAACTATTTTTAGATCATTAAGTCATCATCATCATGATCATCATGATCAACCTCAGTCTCGGCATCATTATCATCATCGTCTGGATTCTCTGAAGTCATTAGAGTTGCGCAGATGGCGTTGTTTTTCCGTAATTTTTTCATTCTTTTTCTCCTTCTTTCTCTCGTTCCGTCGTCATCATTATCATGTTTGTCATCATCCTCATCATCATCATCATCATCGTCGTCGTTGTTGTTGTTGTCGCTAGTGTTGTCGTCATCTCTGGCGCGTTTTGCTTTCGTTTTGTTGAGTTTTCTTATGTCAGATAGGCCTGCAATTATTTCAATTTGCTGATGTGGTGATAATTTGATGACGGTGTTGTTGTTGTTGTTGCAGTTGAGATGCTGTTGTTGTTGCTGTTGTGATATTGTTGTTGTTGCTGTTGTGATGTTGTTGTTGTTGCAGTTGTGATGCTGTTGTTGTTGCAGTTGCTGTTGTTGATGCTGTTGTGGTGTTGTTGTCGTTGAGGTATGATAAGAATGTTGTAGTTGTTGTTGTTGGGATATGATAAAAATGTTGTTGTAGTTGTTGTGTTGTTGTTGTTGTGATATGATAAGGATGTTGTTGTTGTTGATGTCGGTGATGTAGTTTATATAGCCATGCCTATCATTTAGTGAACGCAAAGCTTGTGAACGAATAAATAAACATAAAATTAATTAATTAATAACAATAATAATAAAACAACATTTATTAACAATAATAACAATATAAATAAAAATACTATTTCGTGATCTACTTATTGAAAAAAAATTGAAGGAGAGAAGAGAGAGTGAATGTGATTGGTGATGGAAAAGAAGGAAAATATGTGATTATTATTATTATTATTATTAGTTGTAGTAGTAGTAGAAGTAGTAGTATTAGTAGTAGTAGTATTAGTAGCAGTAGTAGTTAGTAGTAGTAGTAGTAGTAGTTAGTAGTAGTAGTAGTATTAGCAGTAGTAGTGGTAGTAGTAGTAGTAGTATTAGTAGTAGTAGTAGTAGTAGTAGTAGTAGTAGTAGTAGTAGTAGTAGTAGTAGTAGTAGTAGTAGTAGTATAACAATAACCGCCGTTGTCTTTATTATTTTCTTTTAAATGTTTTCAGCAACGGGTTTTGGGTTAATTTTGTTGGTATTATTATTATTATTATCATCATTATTATTATCATTAATATTATCATTATTTTTATAATCATTTATTTTGGTTTTTATTATTTATTATTGTTATTATTAAAGTTTTTATTTTCAAATAAAGAGTCAAGTAGAGATACTGAATGGAACCTTCTTTCCTTCGTCTGCTTGCTCGGCCGGTTACAATTACAAATGGCACTCTAAAACTCTGGCCCGTCTTACCGGTAATGCTATTACCGCTATCACAACTTCTGTACTGTAAACTACTGCCCTGATTACAATTATTATTACTCTCTTTGTGTATGTAATCGCTGTTGTAATCGCGATTGTAAAGGAGTTTACTTTTACTCGCATCACCTCGATTTGCGTGATTGGTGTAATTTGGATTGCCGTTATGAGGACGATCACAACGGTCATCATCATCATCATCATAATCGTCATCATCATCATAACCATCGTAACGATTCCGCGACGATGATGATAATGATACCTCGTCGCCCGGACAGCCTTTAGAATGTTCGACGCACCTATTTATGATCTTTGATCTGTGGAATGTTCTAGAATTGATTCGACTACTATAACCACCGATGCTGAATTGATGATGATGACGACGATAATGGTGGTCAGCATCATTATCAGGAGTAGAACTAATACTATTACTATTAACCTGATGATGATGATGACGACGACGATGTTGATGATGATGATGATGGTGATATATGTTGGAGCTATTTAAAGTTGCGTCAGTATCATAATTGTCACTAATAAACTTATAATTGTATTTATTATTGTTATTGTTGTTGTTGTTGATGGTACCGTTATCGGTATCGTTATCGGTATCGTTATATCCGATACGATATGACGATCGAATCGCTTTTGGTGGCAGTCGTTCGCTTTTTGAATTTTTTTGCCGCGAGTTTGACAAAAGTATTTTCGACGTTTGTAGATTACTGTCACTATTGTCGTTGTGGTTGTTGTGGCTGTTGTGGCTGTTGCAGTTGTTTTGGCTGCTGTTGTNGTAGCCGTTGTAGTTGTGGCCGTTGTAGTTGTTGCTGTTGTAGTTGTGGCCGTTGTAGTTGTGGCCGTTGTAGTTGTGACCGTCGTAGTTGTGGCCGTTGTAGTTGTATGTCGATGTTTGTGATGTGATGATTGATTCGAATGATTGTTGCAAGTTGGAAGTGTTGTCCAGTAAAGTTCTGTGATGAACGGCGCTAATAACGTTATTAATGTTGTTGCTGTTGTTGCTGCTGTTGTTGTTGTCGTAAAAAACATTATTATTATTATTATCAATGATATTGTTGTTGATGTTATTGTTATAAGAATCATTAATGTATTTGTTAGTATTATTGTTGTTTGGCAGATAATTATTATTATTATAATTAATAATATTATTATTGGTGTTGTTGTTAGCATTGTAACTGTCTATATACCTATTGTTGTTAGCGTAAAACAAGCTGTTGTTGTTGTTTATGTTTTTCCTGATATTGTTGTTATTGTTGTTGTTTTGTGATTCGCTGATGTATGCTTTTGGCAATATTTCGCCACTAATAGAATTATTTATAATACCATAGGTGTTGTTGACGATGGCGCAAGTGTTGTTGTTGTTGTAGTTAATGTTATCGCTATTGATGTCGTAGTTGTTGATGTCGTTGTAGTAGTTGTTGTTGTTGTTGTCTGCGTTAATGTAATCGTCGTTTGGTACGCCAATATTAATGCTGTTGTTGTTGTTATTGTCTGTAATGTTGTTGTTGTTGTTTTCAACAATGACGTCATAAAGTGTATTATTATTATTGTTATTATTAATGTTGTTGTTGTTGTTGTTTTCGCTATAGATGATATCATTACCTCCGTAGGCGATCACATTTTCAAGAGTATTAAAGACGGTATCAACATTGCTGTTATCATTATTGTCATTATTATATATAATGCTGTTGTTGTTGTTGTTGTTACTATTGTTGTTGTTGTTACTATTGTTGTTAATGTTGTTGCTGTTATTATCGTAGATGAAGTCGTTGTTATTGATGTCTTTGTTGATGTCATTAGAGGGAATGTTGGCAATGTTAACGTCATTATCATTGTAATTATTAATATTAATATAATCATAAATATTATTATTGTTATTATTATTATTATTATTGTTGTTGTTGTTGTTGATGTAATTGATGTGATCATATACCTGATCGCATTGGTTGGCTGATTGTTAACCATCATCGTCCATGATCATTATTATTATTGGCGTCGTTATTGTCAGCATTAATGGTTGAGTTAAAATGATTAAGATGATGATGATGATGAAGAAGATGGTTAGGATGATAATGAAGAAGAAAAATATGATGATGATCACAAGTAGGTAGTGATTGTAAAATTTATAATAATTGAAGTTTACAAATTTTGAGCTACGCATAGTTATAAACGGTTAAATTTTTTAGTATGTTTATGTATTTTTGAGAAAGCATTTTTCCAGATACGTGTATGTACGTATGTATTTAATGATAAAATGTAAGTATCACTGAAACCATGGATTGTTAATTTAGCCAACATTTTATTTTTACTTTATGTTCAGCCACAACCAGTAGGAAGCTTGCTCTGTGCTACTAATAACTGCCTGACAGTCTCACCTCTTTGAAAAGTTTAAACATCGACTCTCCCACTTTTCCTCTTGCACCAGTCTCAACAGAGTAGAACCTGGTTTTGTATCCTTCCTTGTTTAAATCTTGAATCAGCTGTTTGTACTTTGCGGATCTTACATCCTGGCTACTAAGCATGTTATCTTGGTAAGACACACTTAGTTCAATGACGATAACTGAATTCGTATTCTCAGATGATTTAGCATGTTTATTTATTTTTGATGAGGCTTTTTTTGTAGATGCGTGCATGTATGTATGTATGTATGTATGTATGTATGTGTGTGTGTGTGTATGTATGTATGTGTGTGTGTGTGTGTGTGTGTGTGTGTGTAATTATGTAAAAAATACGTAGCAAACAAACAAACCTGTAATTCCATTCTCAAATACGTTGATTAAGTTTTTATATTCGTCTTTTCCGAAGAACATTTTCTCATCATCATCATCGTCTCCATTCTCGTCGTCATCATCATCTTCTTCATCCTCTTTGACATCATCACCGCAGTCGTTCGGATCGTTATCAGTACTTCTGGCGATGACTTTCATCGAGTTATCATTTGCAGGCGACGATATTATGATTTGGTTTGATAGGAGAGATGTTGACGGATCTGTTTGTTTGTTTGTATGTATGTATGTACTTGTATGTATGTATGCATGTATGGGTTTGTATGTATGCATGTATGAGTTTGTATGTTTGCATGTATGAATGTGTTTTTATGTTAAAACCAAATCAGCGATACCGACATTTCACCGTCTGGATCGTAAAGATTTTGAAAAACAATTCTTCATAATATCTTAATTATTTATATCATTTGTTTGTATGTATGTATTGGTTTGTATGTATGTATGCATGTATGAGTTTGTATGTCGGAATGTGTATGTATGTTTGTATATACGTTTGTATGTATACAAACCATCAGTAACGGCCTGTACAGATACGCGATGTGTTGTATGCGCTCTGATGCATCCGTCCAATAAGATGCAGAACGATGAACTCTCAGTAGCTATCTGAAGATGTTGGGGCATGACAGTAGAAATAATAATTATAATTATAATAATAAAAATTGTTATTATCATTATAATTATTATCCAATAATCAACAATATTAATTATTATTATAATATTATGTATGATAATTACGAACCATGTTACCGTAAGGAACGCCGTCTAGATAGACTTGGTAACCTATGACCTTAATCTTCGGGTCGTTGACCTTATTTTTGGGGTCACTGCTATTTTTAGATTTGGTATTTAAGTTCACTTTTGAAATATTTCGCCAGCAGACGAGGGCAGAATCGGGACTGGGCGTGGCTAGGAGATGGACCAGTGGACCGCCAGTCTCGGCAACTCGATACCGACATTTCACCGTCTGGATCGAAAAGATTTTGAAAAAAAATTCTTCATAATATCGTAACTATTCATATAATATCGTAATTAATTATTAATAATTATAGACAATTATGAATTATTATGAAAGAATCATCACTAGCTAACCAGGACATTTGATTCAATAGGATCAGGCAGAGCATTGCTATTATCACTCCCTCCATTGATCGTATTCAAGGGGTGAGCGTGCATTTGAACCCGGTAAACGCCAAGCGACGTCAAACCACTTACCTCTAGCTCGTTTGTAGTTGGCTGGATCAGATATCCGTAAGACACGTCGTTTACTTTTAGCTAGATGAGTGAGTGAATGAATGAATGAATGAATGAATGGGCAAAAAAATGAAAAAATAAAAATGGAACATAGAACTTACTTCAAAACCGGCCAAAAGATGACAAAATCGTTCGGCATTCCATGAAATTTTTAAAATTCCAGGACGGATGAAATGGGATTTAATCCGAAATTTTATTTCTTTCTCATCCAATCCTTTTTTAATGGGCGTCTAAAAAAAGATTGATTAAATTATTTATTTTATAATTATTTATTTTATAATTATTTATTTTATAATTATTTATTTTATAATTATTTATTTTATAATTAATTTTTTTATAATAATTATTTATTTTATAATTATTTATTTTATAATTATTTATTTATTAATATTATTGTTATTTTCAAACAACACCTCGATCCCGTACGGATTTAGGAGATATCCTGATAAGTTGTTATCAGCTGGTAGGACTATAAATTTTCTGGTTGATTGATTGATTGGATTGATTGATAATTGATTGATTGATTAACTGATTGATTGATTGATTAACTGATTGATCGGTTGGTTGGTTGATTGATTGATTGTTTAATTGATTGATGATAAATCAATCAATCAATCAATCAATCAATCAATCAATCAATCAATCAATCAATCAATCAATCAATCAATCAATCAATCAATCAATCAATCAATCAATCAATCAATCAATCAATCAATCAATCAATCAATCAATCAATCAATCAATCAATCAATCAATCAATCAATCAATCAATCAATCAATCAATCAATCAATCAATCAATCAATCAATCAATCAATCAATCAATCAATCAATCAATCAATCAATCAATCAATCAATCAATCAATCAATCAATCAATCAATCAATCAATCAATCAATCAATCAATCAATCAATCAATCAATCAATCAATCAATCAATCAATCAATCAATCAATCAATCAATCAATCAATCAATCAATCAATCAATCAATCAATCAATCAATCAATCAATCAACCAGCCACCCAACCAACCAACCAATCAATCAATCAACTAACTTCGAAGTGAAAACTGCACTCCTTGTTTTGTTCCTGGCAATGGCCGTACACCGAACGAACACAATACCGCATCGATCCAGTACGATACCGACATTTTTATCGTATTTCTGTCGGTATTCGGTCGGTGATTCGGTTTTAAAAAACCAACAACAACAACAATAACATAAACAACAACAACAACATAAACAACAACAACAACATAAACAACAACAACAGCAGCAACAACAACAACAACAACCTTGACCCCAGGACGATGTAGATAGGGCAGTGTCCCGTCAACAGTATAATAAATAGCCGGTCCAGGATCATTACTACTACTTCCTTTTCCGCAATCATCATCATCATCATCATCATCATTACCGTGGCTCTTTCCGGTATCACTGCTATAACCTCTGAGATAGACCACGTGACCTTGGGGTACTTTGAGTTTCGTGTTCGTGTAGTTCCGAATGGTTGGGGTTGGAGTCTGCTTGGCTGATTTTGGTGGGAAAATTTATTATTATTTCATCATCATCACCCACCAAACATCATCATCTCACCGTTCTTAACAACGTTTACGGTGCAGTGGTGAATATTCGGATCGTAACCGACCGACGATAATCGGAACTCGCCGGATATATCGAAGTAGTGCACGAACGAACTACCCTTTTCCGGTTTACCAGAATGTATGACTTTGAAAGTATCATCATCATTACCGCCGTCGTTGTCGTCGTCATCGTTGTAGTTTTTGTTGCTGTGTGTTAGTTTTTTCTCCATGAAACCCTGTTTGTATGTAAGTTTGTCTGTTTGTATGTTTGTTTGTATGTATGTTTATTCGTTCGTTTGTTTGTTTGTTGCTTGTGTGTGTAATAATAATAGTAATGATAATTATGATGATAGTAATAATAATAATAATTATGATGATAGTAATAATAATAACAATAATAATAATAATAATAACCCCTTTTGAATTCAATAGGACGATGTTGTGAGCGATCTTCGAGTTTTTCCAATCAAAGATAACGAAATCATCCTGCGATTTTATTATGAAAAATTATTATAATTAATAATAATATAATTATTGCCCACCATTATCATCATCATCACCACAACAACAACAACAACATCATCAATAACAGCAACAACATCAACATTATCATCAGCAACAACAACAACTGCATCAACAGTACCATCGTCGTCGTCATCATCGTCATAATCATCACAATGACGTCATAGTATCTAACTTCCGGAAGGGTTATGAAATCAGGGTGGAATCCGTCGTCATCCTCCAATCTTATTATGACGGCATCTTCGCTTTCGTCAGCCAGCACGGAACTCACTATCTGATCTTCCGGCAGAACCTGCTTGTAATAAAAATGACAATACTATATACTATCCGATACGATACGATACAATAGGACACTATGTGATACAGTACAATACGATACGATACGATACTATACAACACGATACTATAAAATACGATACGATACTATATGAAACTCTACAATAGGATACTACACGATACTATACATGATACTATGGTATACGATACTATCCGATACGAGACGATACTGTACATAATTAACGATCAACTAGTATACTTATATTGATAATATTATAAAAATGACTAAGCGGGAGGTGCGATACAATCAAATACAATATATATATCTGAAATTATTATAACACAATAACGAAACCAAACGAGACGATACAAAACTAAACATATATCTGAAATTATTATAACACAATAACGAACCCAAACGAGACGATACAAAACTAAACGAAACGAACCGATTGATTAGTGGGATCGACGAACGACTTGCTGGCGAAATGGTAGGTGCCAGCCATGTCTAAACCTCTACACACGCATTTTCTTGAAATTTAAATTTAACTAATTTTATTAATATTAAAAAAATAATAATCACCACTAATGTCATCATCATCATCATCGTCATCATCATCACCATCGTCATCGTCATTAAAATCATCATCAGGATCACCTCGGAACTACGTCAGCCGGTATCATCTGCGCATTGATGACGTCATCAAAAGTTGCCACCCTCTGAACGTCAAATGATGTCAGTGACCCGGAAAAAGTCCAGGCGACGATGTCATTGGTCGAAATCAGGACGGGGTCATTTTCAATTTCACGGGGGGGCGTGGCTATTTTTACTTCGTGGACCTATCAGAATGAAAAGTTTGTTGTTGTTGTTGCTATTGATAGTTCTTCATATTACAATTTTTTTTCACTAATCAATATATAATTCAATCAACCAACCAACTTACCAACCAATCAACCAACCAACTTACCAACCAATCAACCAACCAACTTACCAACCAATCAACCAACCAATTTACCAACCAATCAACCAAGCAACCAATCAACCAACCAATCAACAATCCAGCCAATCAATAAACTGACCGTTGGTCTTTTGTGGACATCAATGACACCAATAACATCATGCGGGTGACCATCACTGTTGTAAAAAGTGAATATAAAAAAATTACAAATAAATTATTTTATGAATAACATTATAATTAATAATATGATTAAATTAATAATATAATTATTATATTTTCTAATCCTGAACACCCCTCTCTACCTTTTGTAATGATACTTTCCTGCCTCGATGAATTGGAACATGTAGGCGGTTGGGCTATGGAGGGCGAATCCACTTTTAAAACCGCCATCTGTTAGACGTCCTTGAGGGTTGACCTTGAAAATTTGTTTGGTTGGTTAATTGGTTGGTTGGTTGGTTAGTTGGTTGGTTAGTTGGTTGGTTGGTTGGCTGGTTGGTTGATTGAATGAGTGATTGAATATATTTAGGTTGAGAAATTGTGTGTGGAATTGAAATATAATATTGGATTGAGACAAACACATAACAATAAAGTAACCGACCAACGAATCAATATATCAACCAATCAACCAACCAACCAGCCAACCAACCAACCAACCAACCAACCAACCAACCAACCTGACATATATTATGCTTTTTCTTGGTAGTTTGCCACACCCACCACACCCTATCATTCAGGTAGGCTTTGAGGTACCTGGGTTCGAACGCACCGTCAGTCAGCGTTATTGTGTGGTTCTTAAATGCAAAAAAAATATCATTAATATTATTTTTAATAACGATAATAATAAATA